AATCGAAGATATTGATACAATTTTTTATATCCCATTTTCATACACTTATAAATTCAGAGTATAAATATCATTTAATATATAGGAAATTGAATGGGGCCAAAAGGTTCATTCATTATGCCGATCTAGTTAGGCAGGGTTCGATTGTTTTACACGTCCCCACCACTGGGAACTACAGTCAAAAGCTACAAAAATCTACTTTATTTCATTGAAAAAATTTATATATCCAGATAATTAATTTTTTGCCCCTAAAATCTTGATTATCCCACACCTATCAAAATAGCTGCCATCGTGCTGGATATATCCTTCAGAAAATGAAATCACTTTCACTTATACATTGAATTAAAGCATCTTTCCAGTAATGCCTCAGTTTGGTTTTCAAATTTCAGCACGTACTCCTGACCTGGCTCCAAGTGATTTCTGCTTTTTATTGAAAACAAGGTCCTACAAACGGAGAAAAGTTTAAAAGATTGATCTACAACTGCTTAGTAATTTTTCTCCGAATTCTTTTTTGAAATTGTCTTTCTCTTAAGTTCAGAATTTAAATCAAATATTCTCCCTTTGATAAAAGACATATCCTCACAATATTTCTCTAATGTTGGCAGAATGAATATAATGTCCTATCACGGCTTAATTTCTAAAATTAGAAATGCCAAAGCTCTATCACAGAGGGTCAGAAACGAGGGAACAAAAAAAAAAAAAAAAAAAAAGTTTTATAAAATAATTAATATTTAAAATTAATAAAATCCAATAAAATGCGAAGAGATAAATAAAAATTCCACGGAAAACATACCAATATGAAATTAAAAATTAGGCAAAACAGCAGCTTTATTTTGAAGATTTTGAACCAAATCCATTAATTAAAAAAGAATTCTGCTTAAGCCAAAATCAGGTTGGTGTTATCCCTAATTTTGAGATAAATTATAAATTATTAAATTAATGATAAATAGTGTTAAATAATAAAATACTGGACATAATTTTCTTTGCGGCTCCGGCTGAAATTACAAGCACACTCAAGTATTGTACAATTTCACTCAACAACCAAGAAACAGCATAGCCGGGTTTTGACTAAATGTAAACTCGAGTATACAATAGTTTGTACTATTTCAGGGGTAAAAGAAAAGAAGACCATTCCTTTTCAGGCCCCCACTGCAAAAAGATAAAATGCTTAAAGTGTCACCAGTGAGAATAGATAAAATGCTGAAAACAGTAACAAAGTATAGAGAAAATTTTAATGGAGGATATGTAGGTATGAAAAGAAAGATAACACAGTCAAATGCTTTCTGAGCATCACTCCTGCCAATCTAGTTCTCAAGCAAAATGTCACAGGGTAAAAATTTTCCTCCAAACCAAAGAGTTAGCTGAGAACAAATGTACAGACAAATGACAATTTTCGTTCCTCATATGTGTGTGTGTGTGTGTGTGTGTGTGTGTGTGAGTGTGATTATGGCAAAGCCTCGAGGGCTATCTGCCTAAGAGGAGGAGTGCCTTCGTGGAGGACTTTCTAAGGGAAACTGGTTCGTATACACATTACACATGGGGAAAACCACGAAAACGCCCATGCAGCCAGCCCGTTCACGGGATTCAAACCTCGGACCGAACTACCAGTGTTCAGCGACTTTACCGCTCGGCCGCTGGTGGGAGTCCCTCATATGTGGTTACATCATTCCAAAAGTCTGTCTTTCTGTGGGAAGCCACTAGTGTTGGACACGTATTTACCCACTTTCATTAATTCAGTGCACTTCTTGGAGAATAAGCCATTGACATGTGAGTTGGGCTTTTCTTTTTTCTTTTCTTAAGTCTCAAACTCTGCCGAATATTTGTGTCTGAGGAAAAGGTAGGCACGGATTCAGAAGTTAAAATAGATTTTAAAGGCTTACTTCATATTAAAATAAAATTCTCGAGTGAACAAAGGATTTTCTACTTAATTTGTGGCTCAGTTAGATAAAAGAAAAGCTGGACCCATTTTATTTCGGGCTTTGACGTGTTCAGCTAAAATTACGACTTATCTCAAAAACTGAGAAGTACCAGAATGGTGCTAAGGTGCAATTAAATATTACTTCCTCGTCATATATTTATACAGAAAATATAAAAATATTACTCAGAATTTCACCCCCCCTTTTTTTTTACTTACACCAAAGGTAAATGCTACTTTATAGGAATACTTTTTAATGCTTAAGTCCAGTTCGAAATCTTCAATACAAAAATTGACAACTCTTGTAATAACAAAATAATATAAATACCTATAGAACACTAGTTTATTTCAAAATATAACAAACAAAATATCGAATCTTGAAATAAAACAAATAAAGAAGACTATCTTTCCAAGGTGAAAGCATTTAAACACATTAGAAGGTTTGCGATGTATACTTCATTAGTGAAATTTAAAGTACAAAACTATTTTGTTTCATTTTCCATAGAATATGAAAGATCATGAATCAATAGAACAGTTTCAGAAAAGAATAAACAATTCTCACAAATTCAAGAATGCAGGAAATGTGCAACATTCTTTTCACTACATTTGTTAGGTAATGCATTTTTGATATACATGATGTAGATATTGATTTGATATAGTTTGAGATAGCAATCCCATGTTGATGAATGAATCATGGCAATATTATGAATTATCATTGAAGAATATCTACAACTGACTAGTTCATGATGTCTTAGCATTAAACAACAAATTTAGTTTTTCCCAAACCACCTTATGCTAAACTAATAATGCAACTGGGAATTTCATGAATCACATTTCTTTTATATTCCCTTTAATTCTTTAAAAAGCTATTTGTACTAATCATTTTTTTACACATTTCATATGTTTTCCTGTTGTCAGTTACACAAAATAAAAGACTGCAGCACTCCGTATGCAGTCAACTAGATGACATCAAAAGATAATGCAGAATAATATTGTTTGTTCAGAATAATATAACCTATTAATATTAAATAAAGATGATTTATCTGCCAGCAAAAGATTCTATGATATCCAGTGGCACCTCAAGAACAATCAGCTCTAGTAATCATTTGGTTCAAAATATGGTCAAATTATTTACATTCACATTGTTGCTTTGGTACAATATTAATTGGTACCTTGATCAGGTAAAATCATTCCTATTTGTAATAATACACTAAACTCAGTCCTAATACACATAATTTTGAATAAATAATATGATTGTAATGCAATTAATAATAAATATAATTAAATACAGTCCTAAAACCATATTTCATTTAAGAATTATTACAGCAGTTTAACGATGCTATTAGCTCTTGGCTGCATTTGACGATCGAGTTTTGTCATGCTCTTGTTTTCCCACAAGTTAAGTTACAAATGATGAGTCTAATTTGTCATTCAAACTCAGACAAAATTAAACATGTACATTCTTGTTCACAGCAAGAGTGATATGTAACAGTTGTATGAGAATGTTTTTTCCAGTGCTTCAATGAATCTTGTAATAATAAATTGCTCCAAAATAATACATCTTAATATAATAAATAAAAGTAATATATCTTATGAAAATTTTAATGAAAGAGGAAACTTTGAGAAATACGATTATAATGATGACTATAGTGAATTACAAAATGAAAATTTCGAAGACAATAGCGAACTAGAAAGTGACGATGATAGTGAAATATTACCAAAATTTTAAAGAAGCTTAATCGAGCAGTTATAGTGAATGTTCTAATGAATAATTGCCCAACGAACGGATATGGAAGGAAAACTCGATCTTGCTGATATCAAATGATTTTGCACAATATCCGGGATCAATTATATGTATCTGTGTAGACTAGATGATAATCCTAAGGCTTTAGGTGTTTTGAAAGAAGTCCTGAATGAAGACTTTTAGAATATTATACTAAAAGAGACAAATAGATATGCCAGACAAATAATTGAAAAGGAGGGCTTTGTAAAAAATAGGAACCAAAGGTAGGTACTTGTAACCTCTGATTAAATAAAGTATGTATTGCGTTATGCATCTTAATGTTTCAAACGAAGAAACCAAAGCTTTGATTTACAATTGATTTGATTACAAATTTGGTTACAATTGATAAATTTGATTTACAATTCTAATTACTATGCATATCATATGCATATCATATCACTCAAATAAATGAATTCTCACACAAAATCTGCTGCCTTTATATACTATTCTGCACATCAACAAATTAAATCCATTCCAAACATAATTAAAAAAAACTGTACCCAATGGGTTAGTAAGAATAGTTTAATTTTCTTTTATGTTACTTGACATAAGTCTATGCCTTCACTTGCTAGTCTGCTCACAATATTGCTGATTTTGTTGCTTAACGCAAGAGTTTTAATGATAAGTCTTTTAAATACCCAATTAATATTTTGAGCACAGGTACATGTAAAAAAGCAGCTGTGTGAGTTGACAAAAGTCACAACACAACCAAGCAAGTTATGCAGCTTACAGGAAACACCACTTCTAGCATATTAAAAAAATTAACTGTATGTTAGACAAACATGCAAAGGATTATGTGTTACACAACTGTAAGAATTTTCACTTCATTTTCATGGCAGTCAACATAAATTTTAAGTTTCCAACAGAGATTTCCATCAGATGAATGAATGGTAAATGATTCTGAGAACATAAATTAATGACTATGACTATAGCAATAACACTCAAAATGTATATTTTACTCCTTCGCAATCAACACATGAAAAAGAATTATTTACCTTCCATTGTTCACATGGCTAAATAACAGTAAAGAAAAGATTTAATAACTTCCAGAAGAGAGTAACAGTGTTTTCTTCTCAAGATGATATATTTTTTTTAAAAATCTTAAACCACAGAAAGATTTTAAGTATTTTTTAAAGATAATCAATAGTTTTCAAGAGCCTTGATAATGATTTTCGGTTTCTCAACTTTTTGAGATTTTGAAAGAGAAAATGAACAATGTGTTGTTTAATTTTAAAAATCATCACACAACTCAATGTAAAAACTTTCTTCCAGCCACCCTCCAAAAAGACAGAAATAAAGATACAATTAGGTAAAAAAATAATTATTTTTAATAGCATATAATCTTTGAGATAACAATATATTTTCTTCCACCAAACATCAGTCAAATAAAGTTTGCATATTTACTTTAAATGACATCATCCTGTAGAAGAATATATATACATTCAAGACATAAGATTCAATTTTAATAATACTTAATATATAGTTTTAATAAAGGGAATACTTTCAGCTTTCCATATGAGCTTCCCATATTTAATTACATTTTCACTATATAACTGCAAAAAATAAACATCAATTAAAATTAACTCTAAAAATTTTAAAATTTTAAACATAAAAAATTATTATGGTAATAATAAAATACAATAATGCAAACATTATTTAAAAGACGACAAAAAAGATCATTTTAATAAAAAAAAAAAAAAATGCAACACAGACACACACACAAAAAAAATTGAGAAATAAAAACAATACTGTTCAATTTTATATCAAAAAATAATTTTAAAAAGTAAGATTGTGTTTAATCTCTTTTTTGATGAATTCCCTTCCTGAACTTACTTATTCTGGGGTAGGTGGGAAGATTTTATTTAATCCAGTTATTATTATATCATTTGTTGAGAACCCAGCAGCAGATATAAAAATACTACATATGAACTCGCTGTAAAGTTATATAATGTAAATAATAATAGGAAAATGGGTAAAAGTAATGCAAAAAAAAAAAAAAAAAAAATCATCTACTATTTTTCAAAAGTGTGCTGAATTTTATATTCAAGTAGAAGAGTAAAAGGTAATAAATGTACTTCAGAAAAGTACACATGATCAATACTTATTAACAACTTCCAGTTACAACTAAATAATCAGAATACAATTTTTAAAAAGAAGTATAACTCTTCAAAACAAACTCTGACATATGAATACTAGACATCTGATGCCTATCATTAACATTTTCTATGAACACAGTTTCATGCAATTTTTAGTGGAAAACTAAACTACATTTTATGGATACCTAAAAATGAAATAACATAATAAAATCCAGCTATTCTGTTGCTGTATATATTTTATTAAGGTAAATTAATAAAATGTAACAAATAGTGGTGCCCAAAATCATCCCCAACAAAATTCTTAGTGATTAGGGATTTTATGTTAAGGAATAATTAATAGACTCTAATAACTATTCCTAAACTTAAAAGTACTTTAAATTTCAACTTTCCTGTGATGAGACTCTTTCACATGAAATTTTAATGACATACATTAGCTTATCAATGCATGTTAAACTACAATGAGGAAAATTGTTTCAAATTTTTCAAGAATTAAAATCTAAAAAAAAAAAAAAAAAAAAAAAACTTAAGGATGGAAAAATTCATTCTAAAAACAGTAGAAAAACAATTTCATTGTTAAACTTCATTCTATAGACAGCAGAGAAAACGATTTACAAATTGAAATCTTGGAGACTCCAAGTAATTCTGTAACAGAACAGGAGAATGGAAATTTTGTAAATCATTTAGAAATTACAGAACAGAAAAATCTCTGTTGATAGTAACAGTTTTCAAGTTATATAGCATTTGAGCAAGAGATGCTGATAAAGAAACTGCAGTGCATAAAAAAAATATATGAGCAAAAAAAGATGGCAATTTTTGTTTAACACAGCAACAAGATTTGGCTTATAAAGGAAGGCTACCCCCCAAAAAAAGAGGATTCAGCTGAGATAAGCCAACATTAAATGCATCGAGTGTTAGAGCGTGAAGAAAAGAAATGAGATATTCAATGGAAAAATCAATAAAATTAATAACATAACAGTGTGAAAATAAAGTGTTTTCAAAACAGTAGCAGGTTTTAGTTCCAGTGCATAAGCAAAGATAATTAAAATATGTAATATATTCCAACATATGTCAGATTAATTTTAAATACTATAATAAATAATCAAACACTTTTATCACAGATGAACAAACAAATATGCTTATCGGTGTTTGTGTTTATGCATGAAATCATTTGGAATGTTCATGGCATTAAAAAAGTAGTTGCAGTCATGGTTCATTTTTAATATTTCTTTGTTCTCACTGACAAATTAGTTTAGTCAAAACAGATAAACTGGTACAAAAACCACCCGTTCTTGAAGAGTTATATCAGTACCATATAGAATTTTGACATACAATTTGAGACAGCAGGCATTAGCAAGTTGGCAGCAGCAAAGCACAAGAGTGAATACAAAGTGTCTAAAATTAAAGTTTAGAGTGACTGGTTTTGGTTTAGACTTATTTTAACTTGCTATCTTTTAACTTTCTAAAATATAGTCAAATTAAAATATTAGCTTTCAAAAAAAGTTTCACACAAATACTTATCTGCACAAGCAGTTTGTGTTGGTGTGTTTAATATTTTGTCAAAAGATTTTTAGCATTTGAAAGAAAGAGGCTTGCTTTAGAACACAGTGCTGCGAAATTTGTAAAAAAAAAAAAATATCGTTATCATTAAGTACAAGTGTCTGAAATGAAACTATCACGATATCAGATTAGAACCATCATTTACTTCCAGTTCTGTTGCAAAAAGTCAGCTACAGAAAGTCACCAAACCATGTATAGAGCTTTAGGTACTAATGTATCTTATTACACTGTGAAGGTTTGGTACCAAAAATTCAAAAATAAGGACTATGACATTCAAGAAGTAGTGTGCTCTGGCAGACCTACTGATGTTGATAAGGCTCTCCTGTGAGAACTTGAGAACTTCCTGAGAGAAGAAGATCAGTATGCAATCACTCAAGAGCTCACTAAGGAGTTAGACGTTAGTGCTATGTCCATTAATTAGTCATGCTATGCATCACATAAACTTCACATACAAGTTTAATCACTGGGTGCCGCATAACCTGACTCAAGCAGATATGGACAGATAAGCTTGGGCCTGCACTAATCTGCTCGAATAGTAATGCAAGGACAAAATTCTGGACTGGATTGACAGTGATGAAAAGTGGATTTACTTCAACACAGGCCCAAAAGGGGGCTCATCTGTGACCAGTGAGCCCATCGGCAGCATCGCAAAGCACAATTTGATTAACAACAATATAATGCTTTATATCTGGTGGGATTGCCATGGTATTATCCACAAACAGTATCTGGAAAAAGGTTAAACCCTTGACAGTAAAGTGTACAGGGAGACGCAAGTCTGTGTTGATGCTGCTATCAAGAAAAAATGTTTGGAAAAGTTCTGGTGCAAAAAGGTAATGTTCCTTTAAGATAATCCAAGACCACATGTGTCTGCATTCACCAACTAGACTCTGTATAGATTCGAATGGGATCTTTTGCCACAGCCACCATATATATAGCTCTGACATTACTCTTTCGAACTCCTTGTTTTTCACACCTGCAGCTACATTTTGTTAGTGCTATCTTCCATTCTGCCCAGGATGTCTAAAATGAGGTCGATCTGGTTTTGGACTTGCGACCACCAAGTTTTTGAGCTTTGCAAGGCTCTGAAGGCTTTGAAAAACTACCAGACCATTGGCAGAAAATCATAGGTTTGGGTGGTGTGTACTATCCACACTAAAAGTACTGCTTTCATTTTTTTTTTTTTTTCCCCTCGCAGAAAAATTTCATTACAACTAGATACAAAAATATGTAAAGAAAAATTTTGACTTTAATTTAATAATATAAACACTAACCTCTATTTTAATTTCATTAAATTTTAGCAAGTTAAACCTAAAACAAAACTAAATCACTCTGAACGTAGCTTTTATCTTAGACACAACACATTCGCTCTTTTGCTTCCTTATCTAGTTAGGCTGCTGTCACTTCTTCCTTCCTGAAAACAACAACTTAAAAATTTTAAACATTTTCAAGAATAGATGCACTTACTATGCCAGTTTATCAATGATGCATTCAAAATGTTTACCAATGAAAACAAAAAAATATTAGATCAGTCCATGACTGCAGTTATTGCTTTATGCATCTACATGGCATCAAGATCTGACTTTGATATCCACATTATTTCATGTATATGTTACCGTGAAAGACCGAAATTGGAGAATGTCGACTTTCACCGGAGAATGTCAACATTCACCAAATACGTCGGTGAAAGATCGAATATTGCATTGTACATTTGGACCCTCACCGGTGTATGTCGACAATCACAGATATGCTCTGTTGTAGGTGGAAAAGAAAGTAGTATATATACATGCTGTCATTGCAAAAGGAAGTGTCCTAATAGTTTTAAGTTGTTGCAATATATAAGATTTGAATCAGATAATTTAGTAAGTTTTTAACTTCAATTATTTTCCTTTCTCATTATGAATGTACTGTGAGTTTTAAGTTCTTATTTTAAGTCTCAAGTGCGTTTTTTCGAGACAATTACAGAGAAGAAAATATAATATTTTTATATGTTCAACATTCACCATTAGCACATGGTGAATGTCGACATTTACCGGTGTAAGTCAGAAATAAGAGTATTTGGAAAATATTTCGGACATACATGTAAATGCTGACATTCACCGGTGAAAGTCGACATTCTCCAGATTTCGGTGTTTCACCGTAACATATACATATAACAAAATGCAAGAGCTATATATAAATCTTTACTAAAAATATACCACAGCTTTATAACAATTATACAGCATCATTCACTACAATATTAACAACAGCTTAATAGCTGATAACACTATATGTATTTCAATACTAAATGTTTCAGAAAAGCATTTATAAATTTTTAATTAACATTTATATAAAAAATTATGACAACATACATAAGCTTCTACTACTTTCTGTTTCTTCAGATTTAACTTCATTATTCATATTTTCAGATTTATCCCTTGGAATATTTTCATTCTGTGCATTAGTATTTGTTTCTGAACTCTGGAGTCCCCCATTAGTTTCTTCTGTGATAATAAATAATATTAAATAATTTTTAACTCCAACAGCAAAAGTACAAAAAAGTCAATAACAGCAAAATGTGTGAAACAAAATTCAGTCAATTTACAATTTATCACCTAAAATACAGAGTGTTTGCTAATGACAGGAACACTTCTAGTAATTGCATAAAATCAAGTAACAGAAGATGTAACACCAGTACAGTTTGAAGATATATCATTGGTATGACATTCTGTCAGCCATGTTCTCTGCTGGATGTCAGTGGACAGCTCGTTGGTTTCAGGCATTCCTGTGCTACTGCAGATGCACTGTCTTGTATTGCTTAAGCATCATTTATCAAAATAGACTGACTGGCAATGGGTCATGACTGGTAATATTATGTTAGCTGAGCATTGGAAGTACATCTTTTGTTGCTGAAGAAGGGAGGGGAGGCAGGTGTGACAGCTTTGAGGATCATGGTTTCATTTGTCTTGTCATTTTGCTTTAGCCAAATTATTACAATTTTTTTTTTTAAAAAAACAAAGGTATGATAGTCAGAGATGTTGTGAATTAACTTTAAAGTTGCAAGCTGACTCCTTGCCATTTGCTCGTACACTTCCTTGATTTCTGATATGTTCCTTTATCCAGAGAGGTAGAAATTGTTTGAAGTGCTGTACATCCCTTAAAATATTACTGATGTTAACTCTGGACAGGATTTAGGATGACATGAATCACTGACAGGCTATCACTGTAGAAACTGGCATTATAGTGTCTGTTGTTTCCTGCATCACTCATTGCCATTGTTAGTGAGTGCGCTTCAGCCTGGAAGATGCTATTCTTGGGCGAAAGCTGTAATTTCTATGTGTGAAATTCTCTTTCATTAGTTTAATGAACATAGGCATAACCAATTTCATTATCTTAGCCTGAACCATCAATGTAGTACTGGAACTTTGCATTGGAAGTAGAAGGCTGTTGTTGCAAATGTATACTTCAATTGCAAACTCCTCTGCCATCTGCCTGAATGTGCAGCTTTTTGCTCAATACTTCATATGCATGAGGGTGGAATCATGTATTGTGGAAATGTATTTGTTTTTGTAATTACAAAACAATCTGTAATGCTGCTGGTAATTCGCTTTATATATGCAGTGGTGTTAGTCTTGCTAGGATATTTGCTGCAACTATAGACATAAAATAACCTCAAAGTAGCATGTCAAGTTTTGGACAGTAAGTGAGATTAATGAATCTAAATCTAATCTAAACTATAACTGAACTAGATAAAGCCAACAAATTATTACCTGAATATATACAGTTTCCATTAGAAACTGCTAGGTTCATAAACACAAGCACAACAACATAGTAAGTTATAAATTGTCATACCAAATCTCTGGGTTGCATTAAGAACAATGCTCATACCACCTATCACTATAGCCACTGGCGAGAAAAACTTTAGTAACTAAGTCAATAAAAACATGCTTATGGTCCCTCCTGTCTCAAGGCAAATTGCATTCTGTGGAAATTTTGCCTGTAGAAAATTATATTGCAAAGAAAATAGATGTAGAAACTGCTAATGGAAACATTTGCTGATCTAGTCTAGAAAAAGATGTTCCAGATAGGCTAATTTTTCAAACTATGTAAAAAGACTGGTTAGAAAATCAATATTGTTCATTGCATGTTAAGAAACAACCTAGATTATAAAGTAATTTGATAATTAATAAATATTTTCATATAATATTATATATAGTTAGAAATGTTAACTTTCCAATATTTTTAAATGGTACAGTCATTTCAAAAATAAAGATATAAATCAAAACAAACAAAAGATAATTACTATGCAAGATTGTAACAGATGTCATAAGTCATTATTCAAACATATTCAGTCATAATTCAAAACTATAGAATCTGCTCTAGATCAGGTAATGCATGATTCACCCAAATATAAACTTTCATTCCTTTTATAGGTCATGTGACAAAATGAATATAATCTGCTATAAGTTGGGCTTACACTCTTCACGTGGCAATGTAATATCAACTTTTGTTACATGATTGTCTTAATTATTGAGCCTGAAATATCTTAATACTTACAACAAGGAAATGTGTAACAAAATTGGCAGCAAAATTAAGGGCCCAAACACCTGAACTACGTGGAAGAACATCTGTTCAAAACACATATGGATCTTCAAGCCAAAAGTGATTATGACGGCCGATCTAAGGATTACAAGATAACTAGTTAAGTTAAGAATCCTGGTCACCCCAATTTAATTATTTTTGCTGATCATCCAAAGCAGTTAAATGTTCCATTGAATTTCAATTCTTTTATATGGATGCCATGATCCTATCTTACAAATTCTATTGCATATCAGTTCCTTTAGTACTGAAAGATAAATCTTGAAGTATATCACTGCTGGAATTTAAATGTGGGTTTTGTGGCAGAACTGGCTAATTTTGGGAATTTAAATAAATAATACTTGAATGAATATTTTGTTTAAAGTTCAAGTATTTTATTCTATGCAGGTTTCAATTTGAAGCATGAAAATAAATGTCAAATATGGTAAATACACAATAAACAAATCTTAATTCTGTTTGAATCTGTTGGAAACAGAAGAAGTATTGAAATATATAGTCTCAAAATGTTATATTTTGCACTCGTGAAATTTTTGAAAAGTGTTCTATGATAGTGTGGTGATGGCGATAAGGAGCGCGCCTTGTGCCCTCCGATAAGTGTGGCAACCCTAGAGGAGAAGTTTCTTACGAGTAGCGAGCAGAGCGAAACAGGCAGGCTGTCGGGGAGTATGCGCGATGTTCCTAAATAAAGTTTAATTTTTTATTGTGCACTATGTCTTGTTAATATTTATATTAATGCAGTAAGAACATAATCTGTGATATGGAATTTGAGGATTGGTGGTAAAAACATAACTGGAAATCTCCATAATAGTTTGTGTTATGCAAATGGTACTGTGTCATGCAAATTACGTATTTTTTTTTTTTTTTCAAGCCATTGATAGAAAATGGGATTAAATTAGTTATTATTTTGATCTTGTTTTATGTTTTACTATGGAATATGTATGTTTGATGTGAATTAGATTAAGTTGTTCTTAAACCCATATAAAATTATTTTGAACCCAATATGTTAGCATACAAAGTTTTAGGCATACATTTTAGGCATATTGTCAGAGCCAAATATGATTTTCGGATACCTAGAGGGTTTTGGGGGAATGAGTGGTTGTTTGAATTGCAGAAACTGAAATTACAATTCAGTATTATTCCTAGTACAGTGGAGTCTGCAGTGATGTCTTCTTCTGTAGATGTAGACAAACCTAAGTTAGTTCCTAATTTTGATTCTAAAACTGCAGATATGAATTTATTTCTGGACTTGTTTGACAAGCAATTTAACTTCTGAAAGTACCTATTGAAAAACATAAATTTCTGAAAGTACCTATTGAAAAACATAAATTTCTGAAAGTACCTATAAAAATTAAAATTTGTGTTCATTTTGAAACTCTTCATTCTATCTTGTTGGCTTTGTGCCAACTGATGTTTCTAAACTAATTACAAATGAACCTCCTGATGATATTCAGGATTATAAAAAAAAGTTAAGTAAAATCTCTTAAAGGGCTTCAAACTGAGTGCTGAGAAATTTCAGCAACTGTTTATCCAACATAGGAAAAAAATCCAGAAAACACTTGGCAAGACTTACTTTTACTTCGAAACTATTTCGAAAGGAGGCTTAAAAAAATCAAAAGTCGCAATGTTTGAGCAGTTAAGGAATCTGATAATTTTAAATCAAATTAGGAAGACACTCCCCTTCCAGATTATAAAGAAAATTGTTTAGATCATTGCAGCGAGTGGAACGATCCATTTCAGTTGGTGGACAAATTAGATCTGTACGACAAAGTTAGACATGTACAATATAAAAATATTAGTAAGGAGCCCCTAGGTTCCAAAATGAGATGATCCTAAAAATTACAAACTCTCAACATACTAAAAATGCCTCATAAAGGGATAATATAAAAAATGAATATTAGCCAACTGTTAATTGCTATGACTGCAGGAAGTCAGGCTAAGTGCCCCATCTGTTCCCACTCTTTCGAGAAAGCATCATTTCTCTAAAGATAATCAATATGTACACTGCTCAAAAAAAAAAAAAAAATGGGACAGTGCTATATCTCCCATTCTACTGGGGCGATTCAGGAAAATCAAATTGCGTTCTTCATGTCTCGAAAGTGCGACTTAGGGTATATATTAGATTTATATATAGCACTATTCTAACATAGGTATTTTGACACAAAATCGGACTTTTTCTGAAATAACATACCATTTTTTTTTACATATTTCGATTCTACGACTACTCAAATTATGCCAGAATACCAATTTTTTTACCAAGTTTTTGTAAAAATCGTACGAGTAGTTTTTGAAATATTAGCTCTCAAAATTTTAGCTCCTCAATGTTTAATTGAATTTTGGCAAATATTTTATTTATATCTCTTTTTTTTTATTAAACTTTTTTGATATTTTCTCTCTCACATTTTTCGAAATTTAGGTTCATTCCAAATAAAATTTACCCATTTTTTTGTGTTTTATTTTTTAAAATAATTTGTATAAAATTTTTCGAAAAAAAAAATTTGAATTATAACCTATAAAATTTTTACCATCATCTTAAAGTAGGTATATTTTTAAGCATATCTACAAAAATTATACTTTTTATTCAAATTCAAAATTTTCCAAGATATACACAAATTTACATATTTTCATTATTTTCGCGTTTTTGAAATTTGGCATCTTTTTTTTTGAGCGATAATAACGCCAAATGTGGTCTATGGATTTTTGTTACACTGTATTGCCACAGCTATTTTTAACCTTAAATTTCAAGTAAAATTTTACGGAGAATTAATTATATGACATTTTTTGTTTCCCTCAATGATGCGTAATAAAATATTATTAATACTATATGAAAACCTATTTTTTAAATAAATTTTTTTAATATTTTTTTTAATTTCTCTCTATCTTTTTTTTTTTTTTTTTTTTTTTTTTT